TCATGTCAACGCTAAAAACCTAATATTCCTAACAAAAGCAGGACCCAGCGGTCACCAAGCGGCTGTTTGCGAGCCCTGAACACCCACAGACAGGACGAGCGAAGGCTGGTGCGGAAAACTGAGGTGAGCGGCATGGATAAACCCCCCTCCTTGCCCTCACTGACCTGCGAGCTCTTCAACCAAGGCTTTCCCTCCAGCTGGGTTTAAAAAAAAAAAAAAAAAGATACTGAGGGTAGCGTCTGCGGGGTGAAAACTTGCAGGAAGGGGCCGAAGGGAGCGAGGTGGCAAAGGAGGCGGCGCGTCCCGCCGAGCCGCACCAGGCGATGCTGTGACATCAGGCACTAAGTATACAGAAATGATAAGCTGCCCAGGGAGCCACTAAAAATACCAGGGGTCACGGTGATTGGTATCGATCGCAGCAGCCTTCCCATGACCAAAACAAGCTGCTCATTTATTTATTTATTTATTTATTTATTTATTTTTTAAGGCACCCTGTGGGTGAGAAAGGTTTTGCTGCAAAAATAAATAGAGAGAGGGCAAGTGGATAACAGCATTGCTGGGACAACCTGGCGGTGGCTGTTTTGTAGCAACTATGTGAGAGAGGGGGAGATGCGAGGAGCAGCATGGGTCACACACACACACGGGCTCGGGGCCATGCCGGGAGCTGGCAGCATCCCCGGAGCTGGCCCAGCTCCCGACGTGCTGCTGCGGCTCCAACTGCTCGCGCTGTTCCCAACGAAATGCTGGCGTTTTCCATAAACAACCTCTGCGGTCAGGAGAGGTTTCCATGTGCGGGGCTTGTCCGTGGCTGCTCTTCTCCTCTGGCCGCCTCCCCAGCTGGACACCTCCCTGGTTGTAGGAGGTAGAGAAGGAAAGGAGAAAAGCCATAGGAAAAAGGCTTTTCAATACAAAGTCTCACCCACTTTCTGTTATTATTATTATTATCAAACAAAACAAAACAAACAAACAAACCCTAGGAAATCAGAACTCCAAAATACCAGCAGAATACGGGATCTGTGGAAAATTTCCCCACTTTCTATGCAACCCTCCCACCCTGCACATGCCCACACCAGCCCTGCCTCCTTCTCCTCCTCTTCCTTCTCCTCCTCCCCCTCTGCACAAGAGGACTCTCAGGGCAGGGAGGGACAGCAGCGATGGAGCATGAGGCTGGGCATATGGAGATGTTGCTGCCCAAGCACACACGGGACACTTCGGGGACCTCCCACTGGGCTCCAGCCCTTTCCCTCTGTGCAGAGCCTCCAAGATGGCATCACCCTGGTGTCTCTTGGCCATGAATATTAATAAGTCCTTGCAAAGGCGAATGTTTATTAACATATGAACTCTACAGCAAATGTTTATTAACCCGCTACAAGGTGAGCAGGGCGGGATGTGCCCAGCAGCACTGCAGGTCCTGCAGCGATGCAGGGGCTTCTGTGCTTTATTTGCTGCTGTGCTCATGTGTTTTATCCATGTAAATTCAGGTCCAGTGCAGGCCCCACACATATTCCTGCCCTGTCTATGCCTAGGAACGCAGCGGACCTGTCTCTGAGCAGAGCCGGGATTGCTCGCCCCAGGAATCCGAGCAGCCTTCGGCACCCACGGATTAAACATTGACCTATGGGCGCCTCCACGTGCCGAAAACAGGCCAGGACTTTAGACTGCCCTCAATGACTCCGCAGGGGCTGCGGCAGGAGGCGGCCGGCGTGATGGGGCGCTGCGCCCCTGCACCCTGCAGCGAGCCTCCCCCAAGGGCCCTCCCAGGGCCAGGTCTGTCCCAGCAGCTCTGGGCATGAGTTTGTTAGGTCTCAGTCCACATCTTCTCTCGCAGTAAACTGTGAAAATAATGAACATGGCCTCCTGAAATGGGGATGATTTCAGCTGTCGCGCAGTGCGCACCCACCATCCCGGCATTGAACCTGGGGGAATGCCTGCTGTCTCCAGCAAGGAGAAAGGCCTGGAGCACGCTATTGCTGGCTCCACCCTCAGCCATGGGGGATCTCATTACAGCAGATTCCTGGAGTTTTCCTTATCCACCGAATTCCAGACCCTCGCTACTGCACGTAGAGCAGTTTCCTTCATAGGTCTTTGGTCCTGCAGGAGCTGGGAGAGGAAAGTCCTGCTCATGTGTGAGTGACTTCCTTCTTCCCAAGAGGATGGAAGGGAAATTGCTT